ATATTCTTATCAATATTACTATTTAGAGGATTTTCTTCTTAAAATAAGAAACTCTTCTTGGCGCCTATTTTAGTATAAAATATACTTAAAGTAAGTGGGATATNTCCTCAAAACAAGAATACAATTTTTTCGGTGTAGAATTCTTTTAGAACAAATATTCTCTATCCGAGCGATATATTTTTTTTATTCATTATTAACGTGATTTTAACATTGTTTTTATTCGAAGTATGCGACGTGGCATTTTCGTCCTTGTTACAGTGCTCCGCGGAATGTGGGGACGGCGTAAAAGTGAGACAAGTAGTGTGCGGTAACGATATCGAGCAATTTTGCGATCCCAAAGAACGACCGAACGCGGAAATGTCTTGCTTCGGACGAGGAGCGAACTGCAACCGCCCCAAGTGGTTCACCGGTTTATGGACATCCGTTAAGTATAAGATAAACTTAAAAAAATAAAAATACTTCGCAGCGACTCGAATGATCATCTCAGATAAAATGAAAAATCATACATGTTTTTAATTACACAAGTTGCAATTACATCCCAGACAGCCAACTGAGTGCAAGTTGTTGGCAACTTGCCGCAAATATATTACTCATATGTTTTCAGCAATGTAACAAAAGGGTGTATCTCCTCTTTTCGGTATGTTCTTGCCAACAACAGTTTTCAAATTATAACAACAGCAAGTTCTCAACAACTCGTCGCGGCAATAAACTTATTATTATTTTTCTCAATTTATGAATAAAAATTATTGCTCACATATTGCTGACTCACATGTCCCAAACATTGGCTACAACAATTGATTGATAATAAAACTCAGCGTATTGATACCGAATTGACAAAAACATTTTCGTTGCGTTAAATAAAAACAACACAACAGCAATTGGCGAGCAACAATCTATACAATGATTTGCTCTATACTGAGTTTTCACATTTGGCTATCTGGGACTTTATATGTATATACAATATTTCTTAAACAATTCAATACATTGAGCATTTTTATGTTCTATTTTTAGTGTTCTGTCTCGTGCGGGATTGGCGTGCAGTATCGGGATATCATTTGCATAGTTAGAACAAATAATAAATCCGTCGCGCTATCCGCGGAAGATTGCAGCGATCCTAGACCATCCACTCAACAGATATGCAGAATGCCCGCTTGTTCGCCGGAATGGTTCACCTCGGATTGGTCGACGGTTAGATATTCGAAAAACTGATAATAAAAACTGAAACTTATACATCATCGACAAATTTTTCGACTCTTTCAAGTTTTGCGATGTCTTTGTCTATCGAGATATTGTTTACAATATTGCAACAGGTTTTCAATTTATTGTCATTTCTCTTTTCTTCTACGCATTTCTTCGGGTTTATTGATTTTTTTTTCTTCTTTATATTATATTACGCGTTAAATACATTTATTGTTTCTTTCATCCCCCAGTGTTCGGCTACATGCGGGGTCGGAGTGCAAACCCGGCTCGTGCGATGCATCGTCGAGGACGTTAATAACGACACTTGTTCCGAAATCGACAAACCGAACGCGAAACAACAATGCAACATGGATCTGTGTAAAAACGAAATGTTACCGACAACTAAACCGCCAAAAAGTACGAACTTTTCGTTGTCTCTGTCTAAATTTAACTCGCTCTCAAATTTTAACAACAACTAAAACTGTGCTTTCTTTAATTTCCTGAAAGAGAATTTATTATTATAGAGAGTGAGTATGGCAATGATATGATGACAAAAATGTAAAAAAATGGCATCAGATAATAAAACTGTGTCTAAAATTTCTTAATATTATGTTTCAGAAGCGTCCCACGAATGCGTGGACAAGTATCCGTTCTGCGCTTTAGTGGTGAAGAACGGTTTGTGCAGAATTAAATATTACAAACACTCGTGTTGCCAATGCCACGTAGTAACCAATAAGGCTGCGACTTCGTATTCGTCCGCGATTTTATAACCACACGAATGTTGAGGCTCGCGAGCGAGCGATTGTTGATTATAATAATATCGTTACGTTAAATCGCGGAATAGATAAATTATATTATGCCAAATGTAAGACTGCTACAAAGAGATAACGACGTACGTACAATATATTACGTATATATAATTACATATACATATATATGTATATATTAGGTCTACCGGAAAGTTCTGTCCGTTTTTGGAATAAAACAAAATACAATTATTTTTTTTACCGTCAATAAACTTTATTAAATAATATAATTGCCATTTATTATTAATGATTTCTTGCCAGCGTAGGGGCAATTTGTATATCCCATTTTTGAAAAATTCAGAAAAATTTGTATTTTGTTTTATTCCAAAAACGGACAGAACTTTCCGGTAGACCTAATATATTATATATGTGTATAACATATACGTATGATATATGTGCATTGTGTTGTAATTCGCGAATATAGCTGCAGCGAGGGACCAGGTGCGCTTTAATATTATATCTTTAGGGGTAAATTTTAAACACATCGATGTGTGGTCACGTAATTTTTTCGCTTCGAACGCAGCAAACGTACATATATAAAATGCTCAACAAAAAGCATATACAAATATTATATTAACATCACAATGTACTGCCTCTCTTTAAAAAAAAAAAACCGAGAAAATGTGTTTGCGCGCGTCTGGAAATTGATAAAAAATATAATACGGTTCTGCACTTCCGTTACGATTACACTCGTAATACACGCACGTGCGACACGACGCACAGGTCGTGTGCGCACAGGTGAATATATGTACACGTACGCATTGTGCGTTGAAATAATTTTCATATGTGTCACATATGAAAATCGAATAATACGTGGCGAACTCTTTTGTGTTTAATTCTCATGAAAGTATAGCGTTAATCGCTCGAGGAACAAATTTTATTCGCAACTCGAACGCCAGAAGAATCGAAATTTATTGCTCTTTTAATTTAGAATATTTATTAAATTTACTTTGTTATCCGCTTATTTCTTAAAATCGGAAAAAAACAAAAGTCCACCTTAGAATATTTTATTTATTAATTTTTGGGTTTAAGTTTAATTACTTTTACCTAAAATAGAGTATTAAAGAAATGAATAATACAAATTAACAAACAATATATATATATATATAGTAATTAAATAAGAAAATTTATATTTTTGTGTTAAATATTATTTTCACATTTAAATCTGCTTGTGTGTGTGTGTGTGTGCGTATTTTAACGTCGAAATAAGATATCACAAGTACTATTTATAATAAAATATTTATAAGAAGCATATTCTCTCCACACACACATGGATCACTGTAACTAAATATTTTTGACATGTATATAAAAAGAAATGTATATACGTCATATTGATAATATACAGTTTTTTAATCGAAGTAAAAAACGTCCTCTCGCTGAATTGGATTCTGTAGAGATGCGATATATTTCATATACATTAGTTAGGATCGTGTACATAGATGTATATGTGTATAGAGTATACGTCATTATAGATATTAAATATATAGTATTTTTCTTACATATATACACACACATACATATATATTTCTCGATATCTAGATGAAAGTTACAGTGATCTTCAATCCATCACTCTTCGCCATCTATATATTCTCTGTCTCTATGTATTAGTCAATGTTGAGCTTCTTTATATACACACGTACTCGAGGAAAAGGTGAAAGAGATAAGATATTCACAATCTCTATAATTTATATATTACACTACTTTGCTATCTATATTCATATATATATATGTTTGATGTTGAGCTTATACAACTATCTTTATTTTCATATATGTATGTGTGTTCGATGTTGAGCTTATAAAATATTAGGATGTATCAAGTTGTTTAAAGTAATTAATTTGTAAGCAATTTGTATATCAATTAAATCTTTTAATTTCATTAGTGTTAAGATGAATGTGCTTTCTCTCTCTCTCTCTCTCTCTCTCTCTCTCTCTCTCTCTGCGTACACATCAGTGAATTCTGTACTATACTAATATACTCGTAATGCTTTAAGATTAGAATTGAAAACAAGTACAATTATATTTAATGTATGCTAAAAGTTAATTATATAATTTAACGGGGAAATATTTTTATCTCAATTATACTTATTAACACTGTACTCTCTCATTTTTTTTTTAATCAGTTTAATTTTTCTCACATTCGTTTTTAGCAAGCAATGAGCATTCCAAAAAGTACAGTATGCAGTTCACTGTTTTGTGCGAAACTTTTTTACAAGCATGTTTTTCTCGTCTACACATTTATTATATTTTTTTCCCAGCAATTTACATAAAACATTTGTTTTATTCACCAATCTGTATGTTTTTTTATTATTATTATCTCAAGGTAAGTATTTAATATTTATACTCTTATTTTTATAATTTTTTATTTTAATATTCTGATAAATCTCTTTTATTTAAATTACTGATCACATGTGTGTTTTTTTCCGTGACTTTGTAAATGTAAATTCTTCATTGCCAGATATGGATCTCCGAGATCCACTCAAAAGTTTTTTAAACCAGTGTCTCTACCAGGTATTAATTTAGCGCGACTTCTGAAGGCCATGAAAAAAAAAAAAACTTTAGAGTCTTAGGCAATGGTAGAAATCGTTGACAATCATTTTTTATGTGTCTGGCACTGAAAGGTTAATTATATTTTAAGACTTTAAGATGTACATTATGAAGCAAGTACGTAGAAATATGGTAGAAAATTTGTATATAGTTATAAATAGTTTTTATAGGTACTTTATAAGATATATATATATATATATACATATAAAGAAGTCATGTTTTTTATTTATTCAACTTTTTATTATTATTACTTGTTCTATAATCTATGTATTTTTGTTTACGTTAAGGTAAGTGCATTTTATAATTAATATTTTGTTTTTTTTAACAGCTTTTTTATAACATATTTATTATCGTCTTTAATTGTATTACATTGTGATTAAAAAACGGATATTTAGTAAAAAAGTTAGTTGGTAAAAATATATATAGTGAAAAGTTGATATTTGTGCTTCGAATTCGTTCGAAATAAGTTGAGCAGATATTTTGTTCAAATATATTGTCCAAATTCAAGACTTCTGATATAAAATATCTTACCATTTCTGTCCGTATAATAGTATGTAGCATAAAATTCCCTCGCATATTTCAACTTGCGAGTTGTATTCATCAAAGTAGCTGTGATAACTAAGTAGTGTCCAAGATAGAAACAAAATTTCTTGCTTTTTTTTGTTTTTAGAAAACCTGTCACACACAGTCTATGTTTGTTGATAATATTAAATATAAAACGAAGATTGACACTTGAAACACATATGGACGTTCAAAATATATCGTCCTAAAGGCAAGCATGCGTGCGACCGCGACGGGTCGTTAAAAGTAATGGAGGACGTTGTTACCATTCGCGAAAATCAGTCAAAATGTGCAAAATTTTTACACAAAATTCCGTACTTATTACTACGAAAATTTGCAAGAAAAAATCAAAATTTTTTAAACTAAAAAATGATTGTGCTAAAGAAAAAAAATCACTGTTCTCCATTTTAAAGATAAAACTTACCTCCAAAAAATACTAAGCATATCACAAATAACATGGTATGTAATTTATTGTTTTTTTTTTTTTTTTATAAATCAACAGATGCAAATACTGTTGATTGTCTTTGTTACAAGCATCTTACTAGTTCTAACTAGTTACGTAAAATAGTTGCATAATACATTCTGGCAGTGTAATGTTAAGAAAAAATATTGTATAAACTCCCATTGTATACAATATGTTTTTGAATGTCATATATAATAATCGACGATTTGTTGCGATAAGCGAAGTTACGTATATTTAGTAGTTTCGCTTACAAAGACAGTTTTAACAGAAGCTTACAAGTGTAAAAAAAAAGTGTAAGACAAATTTTATGTGCAAAGTAACACGGAGTTTTTACTTTATCTCTCCGCTAAGCTTGAGCGAACATATTTTATTAAATAGTTTTGTTAAAAACTCCAATATCACAAATAATAGATACTGTTACAAGATCGAGCATATGTATAAAATCCAATTAACTTGTATATCAAATCTATTTGTGATATAATTATATGTTAAATATTATATTTTGTCAATAATATTCTCGTGTTGAACATTATATGCAACAAACGTTTGTGATACATAATTATTTATTACTGAGGCTAATACCTTTTCCCGTCCATCTCTCTTTTAGCTCTACGTGCAGACCCAGATCTCTCAGTGCGCTTTTCGCGCTTTCTCGTAATTTCTCGTTAGGGCAAGACATAATGTCTCGCAGGATCTTCTCGACGTCGCACGTCAAGAATATCTCGGATTCGGATCTGTTTCGCACTGACATGTTCCTAATCGCCCAACAAGCTTGTACCAAAACGTCTTCGTTTTTACGATGAGCATACATAGCGTTTACAATTGCCGGCGGTGCATCACAATTGTAAAATGCATCGGAATTCCCAGAGCTTCGTAGACACAAGGTCGCGATACAACCCAGTGCCGCGGTCACAATATGTTCACAATTCTGTAAAAAGCAAATATTGATTTTTTTTTTACTATGATTTTGACAACACATTGTTCTAGGTATGTAACAAATGATTGTTTACGATATTTGCGATATAAAAAACAATATTTACCATGTGTCTAGTGATGACGGATACGATTAAAGGCGCGCATCCACAATTTACGATGCGATTTTTCACACAGTCATTGCGAGCAAGAGTTCTGAGCAGCTTCAAAGCTTGCCAATATACTTTTTGTGACTGCGAATGATCACGGAGCACTACCACAATGCAATCCAATCCGCCGGCATCTGCTACTTTCTCACAGAAATCATTTCGTACGGTCAACGCGGCCAGTGTAATCATTAAATTACCTGCAAGTCCTGTATTTCTCTTCTTCTTATATCCTATCAATAATAAATATGTTTCACGACAATGTATCCCCTTGTAATCAAATTACAATTTAATTGTATATAGAAAGTATCAAAATGTGTTTTTAATCTCTCTCACTCATTTTGATACACATTACATAACTTTTATGTTATCTTGCTCATGTAATTCTAAATATTATCTAATAATAATTTGTTTCATACACCGAAAAAATTGTATTCTTGTTTTGAGGAGAGATAGCCCACTTACTTTAAGTATATTTTATACTAAAATAGGCGCCAAGAAGAGTTTCTTGTTTTAAGAGTAAAATCCTCTAAATGGGTAATATTGATAAGAATATATACTGATTGGAATATAAAAAGCCTCTATGGAAAAACATATATATCTCACTATCGAAAAAGACTACATTCTTAAATTAATAATATATTCTTAAATAAAGAAAATAAATTAAATTAAGAATATAA